GTTTTTCATCAGTTATTATTAGATACCCATTATTTTTCCTTACTTTTGGGTCATCCGGTAGATATTTCGTAGAGAAAAATCATCGTCATTTTCAGCGACATTTCTCCCTTTGGCACATTTCTATTTATGCTCTTCGTTTACACATCATATTCATTGAATTGACTAAGTAACACAAAAAAAAATTTTTATAATAAAAATTTGAAATAAAGAGAATTTGTTTTGATTAATTAATTTTATCGATATTTGTTCAAAATTGAATAATAATATCAATCTGAATAGTATATATTAAGAGAAAATTATTTCAAATTATAAGAAATACAAAAATACCAATGATTGTTAATTGAAGGACATAGTACCAATGCCATAAAAACTACAATGTGTCATGATAGAAACTGAAGAATCTAGTGAAAAATTCAAATCCATATATATAGAGATAGAAATATAGATCGATGATTATTTAATAGCCTAAATACATAAGGATATTTATAGATAAATATTAGAATCAGGTTCATTATAAACAAAAGAATCAAATTTGTTACACAGAATAGATGCATAAATAGAAATTGAAAATGTTTTTAAGTCAATATACTTTATTATTTTCTTTATTTGTATTTAAAGATCGTTGTAATTCGACAAATAATTCAAAGTAAAACTTTAAATTATTATTAAAAATTTTTGAAAATAAAATTTATATAAATCTGATTGACATTCAGTTAGATAATAATCATAGTTTAAATATTCATAAATATTCAATTTAAAAAATATTAGAAAATGAAATCTATTCGAACTAAAAACAAACCAATACAAAATATAAAAAGAATTTTTTTTTAAAATCAAATCTCGAATATTCTATATTCTAAATTGGATATAAAGGCATACAATCATTATTTAATAGTAGTTATTGACAACAATACAGTTCGAAGGACATTTATTATTTTACCTGTATACCTGTCTTTATAGATTTCATTGAAACACGTCTTATTCTCAGTTAGGTAACAAAAAGAAAAAGGAAGAAAAAGAATAGAAACCACGACTCTTACGATCGTCATTTTCTTTTCCTTCTATTCTACCAATGTTAAAAAAAAAAACCGAGAGTAAGCAATACTTTTTTCATATAGTATTTGTCATTGAGCAACAAATGAAAAAGAAATATTCATCCAACTTTAACTTGTTATTTGAATTTGAATTTTTTGTTTTCTTTTCATATTTAATTCAAAGAAAATATTTGTTATATTTCATCTTCCAATACTTTATTAATCATCATCATCATCAAACACGTGTAGAATATTCTTTTTTTTTAGTAAGTTGAAGAAAGAAAAAGAAGAAAGTACGATTATTTTTTATATTTAAACCAAAAAAAAAACGAAATTTTAGATTTTTAAAATATTTTAAATGGATTATCCATTTGAACGACGATATCGACGACGACGACGACATCAATCAGTATCATTACACGATAGAACTTCTTCGAGAGATGATGATGACGATGATATTGAACAACAAATTATTGAACGGTATGAAGAAAAAAAACCAGATATTTGACAATATAAAAAGAAATATTTCTATTAGAGCTATGGAAATTGAACGAAGTCGAGAAAAAAGTTTACATCGTCAACTTGAATATATCATTTATAATATTAAAGTTTGTTCTTTTCTTTTATTTGTTTATATCTAAAGCAAAATTTTTTTCTTCTAAGAAATTAGAAAGACGTCGTCATCAACGTGAACGAATACGATCATCAGAATATTATGAAATACCAACAAGTCTTACTCGTCATCGAAGTCCTGATTCACATACAGTATGAAACAAAATTTATTAATTAAAAAAAAAAACAAACTTAAATTGATTATGAATTAGTGTCGAGATTCATCATCTGAACAAGTTTATCAAACAAATGACTCAAGTTATTCAGAAGTAAATTATTTCAAATAATGTCTTTCTCTTTTCTATGTGTTTTTGTTTTTTTTTTCTACAGACAAGAATTCGATCAAGATCAATATCAAAAAAATTCTTACCATATCAAATAACAATGATTTATCAAGGAATAAAATGTCAAAAACATGGTGATGAAATAATGGTTTTACAAGAAAATATAATTGTTTTTAAAGGATTTCTTCGACCAGAAGGTATTTATTTAAATAAGAAATTTTATTTAAAATCTATGCATTTTTATTTTCTTGTTAAGAAAAATTTACATTTAAATTTAAATGTTATTATCGTCAATTAATTGTTAAATTAGAATTTTTTATTAATGAACTTTTTGAATGTTGTTTATCAATTGATTGTCAACAAGAACAAATTGTTGAAGAAAATCATCTTTTTCAATTACAAACTATACATTCATATCAATTAAATCAAAAGTTTATTCAAATTTTTTATTTTGATTTTTGAGAAAAAAAATTCTTTTTTTTGTTTTTATTTAATTAGACATCAAACAAATGACGAAGAACAATTGACTAGTGAAACAGAAAAATCAGTAAAACAAAATTCAAATTTTATTATCACAAAATATTTAATTATTTTTTTCCTAGAATTCTATTGATTACTGTCGACAACATCATCATAATCATAATTCAAGTTCACCAAGTATATTTTTCAAATAAATTTACCAAAAATTATTTTCTTTTTTGTAATAACAAAGTGATAAATGGAAATAAATCATCAAAATTAGATAATCATAAATCTAAAACACAACAACAATCTTTATCAAATCTAGTAAGTTATTAAATAGTTACATTTGTTTTTTATTGCTTTATTTAGATATTAAAAGATCGAAATGAAACAACAAGAGAAACTTCACATTTTAAACAACGATTTCAACATAATTCTACTCCACCTCAATTACTCTGTAAGAAAATATTCAATCTTTTAATCAACACATTTTTTTTTTTCGAATTTGTGAAAAAATTTATTAATTTAATGAAAATGCATACATAAATCCATTTCAAAAAAGAATAGATTCACTTATTTGTAGAATAACTCGGCAATGCTGGAAGTTATCGAGCTCGGGTTTTCGCTATTATAAAAAGAGTATCACTGGGAGCACAAGACTATCTGAGAATCAAAATCCTTGAAAAATTTTCTATGGAATTTTCAAGGATTTTTCGCAAAAAATGCCTGTCTGGTTAACTTGATTAGCTGTATCTTTAATTTAGCCATATTGTAGTCCAATATCTACTTTATAAACCTCAAGATTTCTAAGCGTTTATCGACCTTTTCTTAACGAAATGATGACCATTTTTACCAAATTTTTGACTCCTTTCTAGGTATTTATCGGAAAATAAAATTACGGCATTTCGACTGGGAAATTTGTCGATAGAATATTCAAAAAAAAATATTCCTTTCTCGAGATATTCAATTTTCAATTTCATTTCAAAATGCAGCTAATCAAGCGAATTAAACAATGATTTTCCAAAAAATTCCTGGAACCTCCTAGAAAACTTTTCAAATATTTTGATTCTCAGGTAGACTTGTATCCACTCTGATGCTCCTTCTGACGGTGGAAACCCAAGCTTGATAGCTATCAGTGTTGTTGAGTTATTCAACAAACAAGCGAGTCTATTCTTTTTTGAAATGGATAGTATCTCAAAGTCAATGTACGAAACTGATTTTATTTAAAAATTACAAGAAGAACTGTTGCATTAATATTCTTGTCTGTGTGTTGTAGTTCATATACAGTCCTCGATCTATAGGTGTTATCAGCTCTGATCGATAAAGCATTTATATCCAAATCCAATAATACTTTTTATACTGATAGAATATTTTAAAATTTGAACCTCCTTCAGTGATTAAGTTTCTAGCACTGGAAGATCAATCATCATTCAATATTCATAAACGTATAATGAAAGTTTATGAGGATCGACACTCCATCACACATTGCAGTTTCTGAATGAAATTGGACTTTTAAAGATAGACAATTAAGTATTGACGATGTTCCTCGTTGTGGTCGAGACGAATATTAATACAATTAGATAGTTACCCATCGAATAACCTCAAATTGCAATTCAGCAAATAGTGGACACTTATAGTATTTTAAATACATGATGGATTCCATTTTACATGATCAATTACTATAAAATTATCACTATAAGCTACCACCATACCTTAGTAAACATTCGATGGAAACTCACTAAATTTTCTTTAAGTTTTTCATTTTCTATCAGTGTATATGAAGTTGATCTCAAATGCATTGCTATATTCAGACACGAATATTTAATCGATCAGAGCTTATGACATCTATAGATCAATACTAATGCAAAAGTACTTCGGATGGGATTTTAAATAAAGTCAGTCTCGGAACTTTACGAACGATCCTCATGCATTGAACTTTTTTTTTTTAATCTAGCAAGACAACAAAGTGAATCAAGATATGAAGAAACAATGAAAAGTCAAAAATCAAAATCAAATCCTATTCAAGTAGATCTTAAAAATAGTTTTTTTTTTTTCAAAAATTAATAAATAT